CTGTTAAAAAATCCAGTGATGGTCATCCTGGAATAATAATGTAATGACAGATTAAAGATATTAATCATTAATCATCATAGTAATAAAATATAGGAAAATGTGCCGCAATCACAAACCTTTGGCTAAATTTTGTTACGGATAATTGCATCCCACTCACCAAGTGTTGCATAGTTGTCTTGGATACTGAGAGAATTGTTACTGTGTCTGAGCCCCAGAGGTAGGTGCATTTCTGTCTGTGTAACATGACAGATGGCTTCCAGTCCTTTGGGATCCTTTGCATGTAACTCATGGAACAGTACTGGAATTCAAAGGAACAGATGTTCCTGTAACATGTGGGAAGAATATAAGCATCTCCATTTACTTTTAAGATAAATGTATTCAATGCTATTAAATTTCTCCACAGATATACCAGAAAAAAAGAATAAAATTAATATAGTTGCTTTCATGTTTTAAAAGGCATTTCCCATTGGGTGGATTTTTATTAATTTGTTGGGGGTTTTTTTTGAACAATCTATCTGCTAGTACTAAAAATTAACTAAATTTTAGACAGGAAAGGGAGGATGGAGGAAATAAATAAGTCTTTTTGTAACATAACAGAAAAATTTCCAGCCATGGAGTAGTCCTATATAGTAACTACAAATAATCCAGTATTTCTTTTTTTTTTTCATGGTGAAATCTGCAATACCAATAGAACATAAAAATTTACTGCAATTCTAATTATTTATCTAGTCCTTTTACCACTGGAGGGCTGAAGGAAGAGCTTCAACATGAACTGGATTATCTGATGATTAGGTAATATTAGAAGGAACACTAAGAATTTACATGCTTAGAAACAAGATATTCCTAAACAAAAAAGCAAACAGACAAAAAACCAAAATCCTGGAGTTTTGTAGCATATCTTTAGAATATTTCATCATCTATGTTAGTGCAGAGATCCCTGAGCAAATTATCTCTAGTTTGGTTTAAAACCAGAAACTGCCCCGAAATATGAGTGTTCAACTCCTGTACTCTATCATGTTTCATTTCTTTTGCCTTTTAGACTACTGGCAAAGCAATGTAATAACATTCTAGAAACTGAATGAGGGCATCTGAAAGAGTAGCCCTATTTGCAAGCACTAAGCTGCCATATATAAAACTTAGATGAAGCAGGAAAAGCTACTCAACTTTGCTTGACAGAGTCCACAGCCGCTTTTATATTGCCTCTGTGGCCAGCTTCCTGCTAGATTTTTCTATTTGTCCCTGTGATCATGGCCCAAAGTTCTGGATTTCTATTTCCAAAATGCACAATCTGGTTGAGAGGGACCATGTGAATGTGTAACTTCTGCCCAGACACATCATTCTTTAGCATATTTCAGTCCAAGCATGTTCTATTTCGGACACAAAATAAGAAGGATAATTGTGTTGTTGTGGAAATACAGAGCCAAGATTTGACCCAACAGTTCAACTTCTGCCATGTTTTTTGTATGACATAAATCACCAATCTGGCCCACAGTTCAGAAAATTAAAGTACCACTCAAGATGTAAACATCACAGATTTTGAGAAAGCAGGAAGAAGTTCCATGAGTATTGCATCACATTACAGCTATTCCTTTTGACACCATTTTGTAATACACTTCTCAACAGGATGTAATAACCACATTGTGCTCATAACCTAGGTCTAGAGCTATAGGCACAGCCCATTCCATAAAATACAGGTTTAGACATTGATGGATAGGCCTCCAAAAAGCAAAATTATCTAAAATGTGTTGTCAATCAAACTTAACATAGTTTTAACTTGGATTCAGGAATCTTTACAGCTTGGCATGCAAAATCCAACATAGACACATCTTTAATATGTCAGTGCATGGACACTACACCTAAATCCTCAAAGAGATGTATTGGGCAGTTTTTCAAGGGACTTGTCCAGCAGTGAATTGTCACCCTGAAAACTCAGCTTCTGAGCTTGCTGACATAGTTTTCTAAGACTTTCCCAGGACAGTAACTGTAAACATAGAGATAGGTATACATTCCTTCTGCTACACGTCTTTTGATGGACATCTCTCATGACCAGTGCAGTGAGAAAGTGTTATCCTGACCATCCAATCCCTGGCCATGGTCAGAAACCTATAAATCCTGGGAGGAAAAATAAACTCTCTCTTCCTTTCACCACACCTTGACCTGTGTCTGTGTGATCTATTCATCTTCAGCGGCAACAGTGAATCATCATGACTCTGGAGAGTAAGACAAAAGCCCACCAAACTTGTTCAGGAAGTGATCTTTGCAAATGTTCAGGGAGAATGAGAAAATTCCTCGTTTAAAACAATGCTTTCATCACATTTTTCTGCCTCTTAAGTCAAGGTTTGGCACAAGATTTTATTTCAATATCTTCTATTAATGATTGAATTTTTTTCAATAAACAGTTGACTAAAAAAGGGTTTACAAAGCTTGTTTCAGAAAACCTTCTTTCTGCTGGCCTGGCAAGCATGATGATTATTTTGGCATTGCTGTATGATTTTGCAGTTCCATGGTCCCAAAGAAGGTAGAAAATTGCTTTGTTCTTCAGGTGAATCAAATTCCATTTGATTTAGTGGACAGCTACCATAAAAAGAAGTAGTAATTAGATCATACTTCATAATTTTTGAGGTATGTTTATGCTATCCTCAGTACCAGAAGTCTGTATTACACACAGCAGTTTAATGGCATAACTAAGATTTTAAACACATAATTTTTTTTCCTGAAGATGACACTGTGTTATTGAGAGCAATATTCTGTCACTTTTCAGTAAACAGGAATAATAAAATGTCGTTGTATGCATGATCATATGAAGTTAAAGTAATACATATATTTTTATTTTTCAAAATGGATCATAAAATATATGTTCACTTATAAATTCTACTCATATGACACTTGAGAAAGAGAAAATTCATTTTGCAGTGAGATAACAGCAAGAATAAGGTCAAAAATAGAATTTAAATAATTACTATTTTTAAATCACCTGATCTTGTTCAGGACGTGACTCAGTAATATCTGAATTTATCATCTGATGGACATAAAATTTCTATTTCAGATAGCTACAGCAGCAGACCCTAGTCACTATAGGACTTTACTGTATCAGGGTAGCTTGCTATTTTGCATATTTTATGCAATTAAGGAGTATGTATTTCTCCTCTACTAAGGGAAACAGCCAGGAATCTGGACTTTTCTTCTCCATTTTGGTGTGATATGGTAAATTATTTATCTTTCCCAAATCAATCATCATTTATTTATTAAATGCTATTATTTTGCTAGTAATTATTGCTGCTACTAAGTAGCCATAGCATCATAGCCATGCCAGTGCTGAGCTTTCTAAAAAAAGGGCCAGAGCTCCTTGCACAGCAAAAATAAAAAAAACACCCTTGTCTGGCAGGATTTACAGCCTCAAATTCCTCAGATTCCAGCTCGGAAAAGGACTCAGTACCTTTCTGAAAGGCTTGAATTACAGAATCCAATCCTATTAATGCATCCCTGCAAAACAATATTCTGTTCCTGCTACCTCTCAGAAAAACCTATTAATATAGGTTTCCTTTGAACATCTGCAATGGCACAGTGGAGCCATGATACACTGGGAAGACATGCTTATGTAACTGTGCAGCTTTTCCTCTTCTGGGAAAAATTTTTTCAGGATTTTAATGGTAGTGACAATGCTGCAAACCACATCCAATAGCTACTGTGAGGTAGAAATCAGGGCTGTGTTATGATGCTAATTAGCAACATTTCAATTACATATGGTTTATTTATAATTTATTTTCTACTCTAGTACTTTGTAGTTCTTTTACAATTTTGAAAGGAAATATTGAAATTCTACATGGATCAGTCATTATAGGAATTTCAATATTAAAATAATTGGTCTTGTATAAATGTGCATTGGTGCTGTAAAACTTCATTAACCCTCCAGCAGAGGGCAACATCTGAAAGAAATATTTCAATAAATCCAGAGAGCAGTTGCTTTAGAAAACATATGTTTTCATCAGGGAATCTTCCTTTGAAAATACGGTTTGCATTAGGTTACCAACTGGGCAAGTGAAAGAGCTTAATAATATTAGAATGACTTGTTTAAAACACAAGCTATAATTTTTTTTAGTAGCACATTGCAGAAATATTAGGATTAAATCTAAGAGAAATATAATCGTTATGACTTAGAAAGAAATACCGATTTTTGCATCTTCAATTTTCTTCAAAGATATAAAAGTTTATTCTTATTATATTCTGAAAGGAAAAATAATTTTCTTCAGAGTATGCTCAGTTCATTCCAGTGCTGTAAATGCCACAAATCAAGGTTGAGTGTTACAGTGGCCTACTCAGAGGCATGAAAACAGAGGACAAAAAAAAATATGGAAAATATTGAATGTTTTAGAGAAAGCAGTCACTAATGGATTCCTAACATGATCTAAAATAAGCTGTGTGAGTAAATTTGGATATAGAGGTAAATATACCTTTGTAACGGGTGTTATCTGTTTATAGCATTACAGCAGCATTATTGCGGCTGTGCCCGGTTTGCCCGGGAGCGGGACTGGCTGCACGAAGGCCACGGCCTTTCCGCACACCGCGCTGTACGAGGAGCAGCGGCGCTCGTCCGGGGCGCGGCGGGAGCGGCGGGGCCAAGGTGCGGGCGGGGGCGCAGCGCTGGCCGTGGTGCTGAAGGGACGAAGTGCCTGGGGAGCGGAGCCGCGGCCGCGCCAGGGGCAGCTCTGCTCGGGAGGGAGCACGGGAGGGGACAGCGCGTACACCGAGGCTCCACGCAGCCCGTGGGTTCGGCCGGCGGCTCCGGGGACTTGGCAGTGTCTGCCCAGGGCGGCGAGCGCACCCCGCCCCCGCCAGCGCTGCAGTCGGGGACACGCAGAGCCGCCACTGACTCGAAACGCTCCCGCACGGAGATCTCCGTCCCCTCCCTGCCGGGCATGGTTCTGCCTCCGCCCGCCACTG